GTGTCGCTGATTCCGTGTGGGAGCGTTCACTTCACGTGGGAGACGCGTGTGGCATCGGTGATGTGGAAGGGACATTGACAGAGATGGTGGTGGCAGTGGGAGCTGATACTGGGGTGGCATGGCAGTGATGGCTTTGGTCAAGATGGCCGGTGTGGGGGCTGGTGGGCGGGAAGGGTGTAGCGGTGACAGGGCTGTCTGTGGGCTCTGGACGGTGCCAGAGCTGACGGTGGTGCATGTGGTGTTGGTGACAGCGGTGCCGGTCGAGGTGCTGGTGGCATTTCCAGTAGTGCTGGTGCTGAGGGGGTGTTGGCAGGACTGGTGGGCACTAGGGCTGCTTGTCGGTGGCACCGGCGGAATCTGGTGGCAGGAGGCTATGGGTGGTCAGTCGATGATGGTGTCGGTCGGGGCCAGTGGGGATACCGATGAGGCTAATGTTGGAGGGGTGGCTGGTGACGGCCTCGGCAGAGTTGGTGGTGGCGGCGCAGTGGCGGTGGCGGCAGGGGGGACTGGCTTTTGCTGCCCCTGTGGCTCTGCAGAAGGGGTAGTGACACTTACTGGAGGGCCACACCTGGATCCTGTGGTACTGATGCGTCTTGCTGATGACGTTCTCGGCCCGGATGCTGAAGCAATAGTCTCCAGGTTCTCTGAAGACGTAGGTCAGGTTGTAAGCCGTGCCGGCCACTGACACCGGGTGGCACTCCCCTTCCTCCAGCGGGAGGCATTCGGGCTTGAGACGCCAGCACAGGGTCAGAGGAGGGCTGTGGGGAGATGACGTGGCACAGGGTATGAACACAGAACAAGTCCAAGAAAGGCCAGGCGGCCATGAACTTCAGTGTCCCTTCCAGGACAGAACTCCCAGCTGTCCTGGCCTCTGCTTCACACTTTCCAGACCAGAGAACAGAATGGTACCTAAGAGATGGCCTGGGATCCCAAAGGGATGTCAGGCCAATGAAACCAGCGGGGACATGCACAGCCTGCTCCACGGACGCACGTGGCGTGCCGTGCGAGCTCTCTGGGGGATGTGGCGCTTGAGCAGGATCTGAAAGGATGAGTCAGCTTTTGCTCGGTTTAGAGGGAGCGGGAGCGTGTCACGTTATCTGCCCGTCAACTCAGAAGCCGGAAGACGCAGGTCCATCAGCGGACGCCGGACGAGAATTCCCACTTCACTCACCTCCCCAGGAAGTTCAAGGTCACCGTCATCTTTTGGAAGTTCTGAAGTTGGGTGGGTCCCGAGACCTGGATGCCTCGAAGGGTTTCTGAAAGGCAGAGAGGACCCTGTTAACCTGGCGACTGAAGACAAGTGACCACCACCCTGTCCTCCCGCAGCCCTCCCCCAAGGGCAGCTGTGAGTCTGTCCAGGGCATGCCTGGACTCTCTGCCTCCCTGTCCTCAGCAGGTGCCGGAGCCTGAGTGGCTCGGAGTCCCCCGGTCCCCTACCATCTGCGCCGCGTGCGCAAAGGGCCACCCCATAGTGTCACCGCAGCACAACCGAGAACTCTGCTGCAGTGCCCCAGCGGCCCCTTTCGCCAAAGCCAGGGAGAGACGGATTTCTGCGTCCCCTCCCTGTGCAGTACCCTGGGGCACAGCCCACTGCGCCTTGTGCCCCCGACCAGAAGCCAACATGACGGGTATGAAAATCACTCCACCTGCGCCAGCCCCCCAGAGACCCACCCTGCAGCTTCAGCGAGGTGGAAAAGTCACCCGTCCTCTGCGCGACACCCTTCCCAGCATCCGGCGTGGCCCGTTCCCATTCCGCCACCACTCTGAGCTTCACGGTGACGGTGCCAGTGATCGAATAGTTGTAATACACCACAGAGTCTTCGGTGATCATCTGGGTGCTGTAAGGTGACCGGGAGGAGACAGGGACGGAAGTGACTCACGTGGCTTTTTAGAGTTGGGGTGGGGGGCTGTATGGTGACTCGCTCAGCTACCGACACCTCATGAGCAAACCTGTCATCACAGTGGCAGCCCCCAGAGCAAGCCGGGGCTCGAGGTGGACGGTACTCGGGAAGGGTGGATGCTGGTGGTTTTCGTGTATGTAAGTTACAGGTGAGAGAACTGTACCCAGCAACAGGTACCCATCACCTACCAGGAAGGTAGGAATCTGGGAGAGGCCATATGTTAGACACAGGCCCAGTCTGGGGAGGGGAGGGGTACAAACTTTGGAGTTAAGACACATCTGGCTTTCGATCTCGGCTCCAGATTCCTATCCATGTAACACTAAGCCTTATTTTCTCATCTGTAAAACAGGGAGGATCATACCCACCCCCGCCCCGTCACGAATTATGATACAATGTATAAAACGTGTAAGTAACATCAT